CGGCGGGGCAAGGCAGCTGGGACCCCGGGACCAGGAGCCCTGGAACCCGCGCCCGGGCAGGCGGCCCCGCCCCCTTCTGGTCTGTTCAGCCCGCTCCACCCCTCGTGCTCGGATTGGCTCCCGGGGGTAGAGCCACTGCGCAGCTTGGCTATCCCATTGGCCAGTGCAGAAAGACGTCCTGATATGAGGCCCCTGATTGGGCAGCTACGGGAGGCGCTATCGGTCCGCCCTGCGGTGTGAGGGGGCGGGTCCGCTCGGTGGTCCGAGCCCGGCGCTCCCGAGGGTCGGGCTGTTCCCCTCGGGGTTAGTGGTTGTTCCCTCCATCGCCTTCCATTCCCCTGGCCAGCTGGACCGCAGACCCCTTTTGTTTGGTTAGCTGGGGCCGCATCCCATCCGCTCGGGTTTGGGGAAGGAGACGGGATCCCGCGGCGTGCGTGGGCTGCCGTGGGAGTCAGCCGGGCCCGGGCCGTTTCTGCCCTTTGTCGGATCCGGGGTGTGGGCGCTGTGGGGCGAGGGTTCCGCCGCCTCGCGGTGGCCTTTCCAGGTAGCGCCGATTCGGCCGGCCGCAGCGGCGGGTCTCCGCGTCTCCGCCTTCTGTTGTAGGCTCTTTCAATGGTGCCTTGTCCACTGTACCTGTGCATGAGCTGGGCTCGACGGTCATCAGAGAAGTCCTGAAGAGGGCCTCGGTGGCTCCGGAGGAGGTGTCCGAGGTCATATTCGGACATGTGTTGGCAGCAGGTAACTCCTCGGTGACCCTCGGAGAGGGCAGGATTCTGAGAGAAAGCTGTTACCACACACACGCCTGTCCCTGTTTCCTCTGCGTTCTTGGTAGACTCCCTCCTCTTTGGGCCAGGTGGTGGCTCCGTGGTAACTCAACTGGACCTGCATGGGAAAGGTCTTGGGTTCACTTCCTGGGACCTCCCTGAGCATGCCAGGCGCCCATGATCCAGGGGGCTGAGAGTAGAAGGCAGGCCCTCTTGAGGGCTTTCTGTACTTGACTCTCTTCACGGAAGAAATAAACTTAAAAAAAAAAAAAGATGGGTCCAGCAGGTGGTGTAGTGGTTAAGACACTGGACTCCCGTATGGCTGACTCTGGTTTGAGTCCCAGACCTTCCGGCTTAGAAACTATGCTGGGCTCATGTGTTATGCTGGGCTCATGTGTGCGTGCGTGCCCAAAATCCCAAGAGAAGAATGGAGAAGGGATTGTGGCTTGGCCATCCTCCCGGGGGGTGATTTCTCACTTTCTCTGTGTCTGGTGACAGCATGTACCCTATAAGAAAAATCTGAAAAAAAAAAACACGTACCCTATAAGAAAAATCTGAAAAAAAAAAAAATATTCCTTCTGTCATCTCTCCTCTGATCTCTGTTACTAGATTCTATATCAAACTTAAGACTCGGCTTTTTATTTATTTTTTTTAAAGAATTGTTTATTTAGGGGCCAGAAGATTGCATAGTGGTTATGTCACTGGACTCCCATATGGCCAACCACAGTTCAAATCCTAGACCTGGGTGCTTGAAACTCATGCCAGGCACATGTGTGTGCATGCCCAGGATCCTGGGAGAAGAGATTGTGATGTGACCATCTCCCCCATCCCCAGACTGATTTCTCACTTTCCCTCTCACTGTCTCTGTCTCTCTTTACTGAGCATACACACCCTAAGGCAAAATCTCTGCACACACAAAAAAATTATTAATTTTATTTATCATCAGTGTTACTCTTTTTTAATTTGTTACAGGGTATATGCATTCACTAGATGAGACAGACAGAGGGGAAAAGTGAGAAAGCAAGCTGCCAGGTCTGGGACTCAAACTGGTTGGCCTTATGAGAGTCTAGTGCCTCAACCACTGCACCATCTGTGGACCCAAGACTCAGCTTTTTTAATATGGTTGCCTAACTGACCCACATTGCCTTTTCATTCTGGGTTTTTTTTTTTTTTGTTTTTTTTTTTAATTTTGTTAGTAGGCATATGTGCTTGACAGAGAAAGAGGGAGAAACCATGCTTGGATTTTGGGCCTGCACACAAACATATACTGCTTTCTTTCTTTCTTTCTTTTTTTTTTAATTTTTAAAGAATTCTTTTATTTATTCATTCATTTATTTTAATTTGACCAGAGAGACACTCAGAAAGAGAGAGAGAAAGAGAGAGAGAGAGAAAGCCACCAGGTCCAGGACTTGAACCATGGTCAGCCATGTGGGAGTATCCAGCGTCTTAACCACCACGCCACCCACTGGCCCCAATACACTGCCTTCTTAATGCCAGTGTTTTTCTCAAGTGACAAAGGCCAGGATTTGAGTCATGTGGTCAGGCATATAGCATCCAGCTCCATCAACCATAAGTCACAGAACAAGCCTGCCTTTCCAATTTTCAGAAGTAGGACTAGCCTGACAGAAGAGTATTCCCGGTCATTCCCCTTCACTTAAAGTGTTACACGTTCAACAAATAGGTACTGAATTCCTTCTATGGGCCTGGCACTGTGCTGTGTGCTGGGTGTATGGTTCCAGTTGGTGCAAACTATGGCTTTTCCAGCCTGTGGAAAAACCTAAAAAAAAAAAAAAGTTTTATGCTCCCTTGGAGGCAAAATTTTTTTTTTTTTTTTTTTTTTTTTTTTTTTTTGGGGGCTTTTTGACAGAGAGAGACAGAGAGACAGAAAGTGAGAAATTACCCCCAGGGGGGATGGCCACTCCGCAATCCCTTCTCCTCCATTCTCTTCTCGGGATTTTGGGCACGCACGTACACGCGCCCATCTTGAGTTTAAGCCACCAGGTCCAGGACTCGAACCATGGTTGACTACATGGGAGTCCAGCGACATAGCCATTACTCTTAAGTGCTGGTCCCATAAATTCTTTTTTTAAAAATAATTATTTTATTTATTTATTATTATTATTATTATTTTGCATGAATTTTGCCAGGGAGAGAGAAAGAAAGCAAGGTGCCAGGTCCAGGACTTGAACTGCAGTCGGCCATGTGGGAATTCCAGTGCCTTAACCACCACTCCACATGCTGGCCCCAGTAGTATAAATTCTAGTGCTGGTCCCATAAATTCTTTTTTTAAAAATAATTATTTTATTTATTTATTATTATTATTATTATTTTGCATGAATTTTGCCAGGGAGAGAGAAAGAAAGCAAGGTGCCAGGTCCAGGACTTGAACTGCAGTCGGCCATGTGGGAATTCCAGTGCCTTAACCACCACTCCACATGCTGGCCCCAGTAGTATAAATTCTAATTATTTATCATGATAATTGTTAAAGGTTGCTTGAAACCAATTCCTTTTTTTTAAATTCAACTTTATTTACTTATTTAAATATATTTGCTAATCCATTGTAGCTTAAAAGGCTACAGTGGATTACATATTAACATCTTCTTTATAACTAGCCTTCTATTAACTTAATTCAAAGACTATTTTGATACTGTCTTTTTAGTTTTCCCTGCATCTATTTTCAGTCTCAAGTAACTTGATTTTAACTTCCCATGTTACTAACACCATGATGAAGATAGTTTTAAGTTTTTGTCAGCGACCCATCTGCTAGCTTTTTCCAGCACACTCACCAAAGGAAAGGTGCTGACCATGGACATATCTGAAACTCGTAATGGACTATAACCCCTGTGTAAACATTTACTGTTGACCTATGATAGCAGACAGTGGTGACAATATTTGAAAATTTTAACTCCATCCCCTCTTGTGATACTTGAAGTAAATGGTTTCTTCCCAACTGAAGGAAGCACAGTTGAATAATAGAAAGTCATTTGTTGATTCTGATTTTCACATACCTTGTTACATATCCACTTAACCATGATGTGATGAACAGTTAGCAAGAAGAAAGCTGCTTTATTTTAGAGGTTGTCTTTTCTTTTTTTAAAGAGTTATATATTTAATTTTATTTATTTATTATTATTATTATTTTTTTTTTGAGAGGAGAGGGCTATAGGGCACATGTGCTCACCAGAAAGACAGAGAGACAGAAAGCGAGAAATCATCCCCCAGGTGGCCACGCCGCAATCCCTTCTCCTCCATTCTCCTCTCGGGATCTTGGGCACGCACGCACACACGCCCAATGTGAGTTCTAAGCCACCGGATCCGGGATGTGAACCACGGTCGACTACGTGGGAATCCAGCGACATAGCCATTACGCTAACTGCTGGTTCCCTATTATTATTTTTTAATTTGCTATAAGGTACATGCACTCACCAGAGAGAAAAAGAGAGAGAGATAGAGTGTGACAGAGAGAGTAAGATAGCAAGTCACTACAGTCGGCCATGTGGAAGTGCAGCACCTTAACCATCACACCATCTTCTGGTTCTGGCTTTCTTTTTGAAGTAGTGTCTCCTCGACCACAGTCATGGAAGCAAATGACTCTATTTAGAAATGTGTATAATGGGACCAGCAGTTACCGTAATGGCTATGTCACTCGACTCCTATGTAGTCAACCGCGGTTCGCGTCCCGGACCCGGTGGCTTAAAACTCACGCTGGGCACGTTACGTGTGCTTGCGTGCCCAAGCTCCCAAAAGGAGAATGGAGGAGAAGGGATTATGGCATGGCCATCCCCCCTGGGGGGTGGTTTCTCTCTGTCTCTCTGTCTCTCTCTGTCTATCTGGCGAGCGCACATACCCTATAGCAAAAATCTCTCCAAAAAAAA